ATCGTGCCTTAAGGCAAATTGCTGGAACTTCCCGTACCGTAATGAAATATTAGAGAAATTCTAAACGTTTTCAAATATATTATTACAAATACTGTAACTTTCATTATTTTTTGCTACCTTGTTATATCTGAGCAAATCAAATGTAAATCATAAACCAATTTATCTCCAGAACATTAACAATCGTCATTTCATTTCGAATTCAATTTCAAAAAAATAGTTGCCTAATTTACACAAAATTGAAAAAAGTCACAGTCTAAACGCATTTGCAAACAATTCTGTGCGACATTTTCACTTATTTTGTGCTTAGCTTGGTGGCATTTTCACATTTTTCAATAGTTTTCACAAAAATGGAAAAGTGCTCCAGTACATAAACTGTCTAAACGTACTTGGGTAAACATTTGTACCAGAGTGGCGCTTAGACTGTGCTTAGCCTGGGTCATTTTTTGAATTTTTAATCCAAAATTACAAAAATATTTTTTGAAAAAAAATTAGAAAGAAAATTTTTTTTTAAAAGCAATTGTTTTGTCAATACAAGCAGAAAGTTTTTTAGATCATTCAAATCGGACGCTTAGTTCACTGAAAAACTGCCATTTTTGCACATTTATCTCCGTACCTCCGAAACGGCTAGACCTGCCTTTGCCAAAAACTAATCACCTCTTCTCTCAATCATTACAAATTGAATGTTTTTTAGATCATTCAAATCCGATGCTATGTTCTCTCAAAAACTCGATTTGTATTTTCTGCACTCTTAAAAAATATATTATAAAAACTATTGCATCATAATTTTTTCACTTCCCCAAGAAGTTTATATTTTCCCCAGAAAATTCGATGTGTAAACTTAATTTTAAAATATTATAGGCCTACGAAAATGAGTATAATTACTAACTAAGTTCTTTATTTATAGAATAATGAGCATAATGAGGACATATACAGTGTATTTTACTTAAAATACTCACTTTTTAATACAATATTTTTAATATACGATGTTGTGATAAATAAATTCAAATTAAATAATACAATTGCATATGAGTTTGTAAGAAGTTTCTAGTGAAAAATTAATAATTAAATTGATATATTTTAACTATATTTTTTATGTTATAAGAAACATAATATAATAGTTTTGGAAACTCCTTAATAAACTAATTATAAAATTAGTGATTTATGTTAAAGTCTTCAAATATGTGTGTGATATCAAAATTTTAATCTGTGTAATTGTTTAAATTTCTGTATAATTCAAATAATTTCTAAAATATAATTTGTTTTGTATTCAGTGAATAAAGGCTTTACATAAATATGAATTAAATATGTATGAATTATTATTTATAGTTAAGTATAATTTATGTTTATTAAAAAAGTTTTATAAATAGATTAATATTCAGAAGATTATATTTATTTATAGTAAAGATTAATTTAAATTACATTTATTAAAAAGTTTTGCAAATAGATTAACAATCAAAATGTTTTCCAAGACCTGCTCCGTATCTCCGTAACAGATGCATGTGCCTTTGCCAAAAATTAATCAGCACATCTCCCTATTAATAGGAATCGAATGTTTTTTAAACCATTCAAATCGGTTGATCCGTGCGCCCGAAAACGTGGACATACAAAACACTTATACACACACATCCATTTAGTTTCTGAGGTATGCCCCTTAAAAATGTTCAGAAACCTTCAAAACGTCGAGAAATGCAAAAATTTTCATTTTCGATTTTCGGCCCATTACTATAACTACCCTACGGGAAGTTTATAATAATTTAAACTATCTATTTACCCTCATTTCAGCGTGCAACGTCAAAAAGTCCACAGTCTCCAAACTATCCAAGAACGGCTCAGCCTCATCATCCTCCTCATCATCATCCTCTTCATCATCATTAACATCACTAGCATCACCGGTACTCAAAACACCACCGGCATCACACGACTCATCACCATCATCATCACCTTTATCATCATCCTCAGTCTTTTTCTCTCCGTCATCATCTTCCTCAGACTTCTGATGCTCCTTGTTATCATCGTTATCGCAACTTTTGGCCTTTTCATCGGACACGATTTTAGTTAACTTATTTTCTAGATGTTTGGCAATATCTTTGCTGGTGGTTGTGGTTTTATTTTTAGTCTTCTTCGGTGATGATAGTTTGCTGTCGTCTTCTGAACGCTTCTGGAGCCAGTCCAGGAGGAGAGAGGTGTCCATGGGACCACATAGTTGGAGAAACACTGCTCGTCTGTCGTGGTCGTAGTAACCGGTAATGTTGTACTAAAAAAACAATATGTAACTGGAGAATAAATTTGTCGAATAATAATAAAATAATTTTATATTCCAACCCATCAATTTCTAACTTAATTCAGAATATTATGATGTCGATTTTTATAATACATCGTCGTCCTTTTCCTCGCCAATATTATCAGAAATATCATTTTCTCAATCTAGAAAAGATTTTCAACAATGACTTACTTGGCTGTTCGGCGTCTTCGGATAATGTGACCCGTTCGGGGGCACACTCAAAGGTGCTCCTTTGTCGCCCCATGGTAATGCTCTTTGAGAAGATTTTCCGATTACTCCTATGACGGCCACTCGATCCGGGATTGAACTGATGGAGAAAAAAATATTATATATATATATATATATATATATATAGGGTGTTCCAGAACTCAACGTCAGAGCGAAACGAGGTGATAGTAAGGGCAGTAACTGTTCTAAAAAAACTGTCTCAAGCGCAAGTTGTTTGAAATTTTTAAGCATTTAAGCGCCACCTAGCTAAAATTTTGGTGAAATTATTGCGATTTACTTTTATCAACAGTGAAATAATATTTGTAGGACCACAGTTAAAAATATGCCAGCTTTTGATGAAACTTATCAACACACTTTAGTACATTTTTTAAAGGAGTGACTTCTCAACTCAGGACCGACTTAAAAAAAAATAAATTCATTATTCAACAAAATGCCTTAATTCTCTGAAATTTGGAGCAATTGTGTCATTATTTTTGACTGTGGTCCTAAAAATATTATTCACAGTTACGTGTAATGATTAAAATTATTAAAATTTAACCACAACAACAGAAAAATGGTCATAAGTTCACCAAAGCTCTAGGTTGCACTTAAAAGTTCATAATTTCCAAACCATGCGAGATAAATATTTTTTCTAATTTTTGACGTTGATTTCCGGGATACTCTGTATATGTATATTAGTCATTAATAATTTCAGAATATATTTTCGTATACAGAAAAATAAATAATTATGATATATTATATTATAAAAATTACCTTAATGTTGAAGGAAAATCAGGCAAGACGAATGTTTCGAACTTTGTCATGATGCTTCAAAATCTGTAACAAAAATTATAGTTCACAATTAATTATTTACAAAATATTAACAATTTCTACCGAATTTTGATGTCTATTCAAGTGTGACCCGTTCTTTTTACGCCAAGTCATACTCTTTCTAAGATTATTATAAAGACACACGTGGTAAAAAAACTTAAAAAGTGATATAAATATGTACTGAATTAAATTTCATACAAAAATAATATCATTTTTATACATATTTTCCTTTTAATTCTGTTAATTTTTTAGCATGATCTATCATCTTAGAAGACGTCCATTAATCACTTGATCGATTTTTTAGGTATTTTTGGTCAATATTTAAATACCCCCTCTATCCCATCAAAAATCGCGTGTATTTTTAGTTACGAACAATATTTTCGAATTTACGAAAAAATCGTAATATTTTTTCTAATGTGTTAGGTTTTAAAAACTCAGATTAAAAATAAATACAAGTTACATCTTACTAGACCCCCCGCGTGATGTTTCGTGATTTTTTGTCAAACCCCACTATTCCCTAAAAGTCTCACGTGATTAATAGACACCCGCCACTGCTTTCCTTAAATAACATAAAAAGCTAGAACTAAAAATTTGTAATTCACAGATTATAAACTTTCAAAACAAATTGCATCATATTATATGGTAAAGTAAGAGAAAATGCTTATCCGAGCATACATCTATTATTGAAGTAAAACTTCTTTAGGCGCGATATGGGTGTAAAAATTTTTAGGCGCGACACGGGTGTAAATCCGTACAAATGCAACGAAAATGCCAACGTGTAGTTGAACACTACGACGCCGTAAGCGCTGATGTCGCGAGTATCCACTCCCGTCATGTCATGCGTAAGTCGAGCGCTAAACCCTATATGAACTTGCATTAATTGAATCACGTTTTTTTTTTTACAAAAGAAGAGGTTGCTGTATTATGTCCTCATGGAATAAGACTTTTCTTAGAGAATAAATGTGCCATGGAATATAATAAATTTATATTGAATCTCGTTGAAGACAAAATAATATCTACTGCCACGGATATTTATGTAGGTTGCCATGCGACAGATCAACAATCATACATTCGTCAGCAGTTTCAAAAAAATCGGTTATTGATACCGGGGCTTTGCCGTATGAAATAATTTTAGTTCTGAATAAATTTTACATAATAACAACTAATATCGATGTAAGTGATGGCTTAGCTAATGGTTGTGTGGGAAAATTAGTGTACATAGAACGTGGCGATAATGATGAACTTCTACGTTTATGGTTTGAATTTCCCGGTAAGATAGGTAACAAAATTAGGAAGAAAGCTTCACATCATATTCAAACTCTTAATATCAGTAGGACAGCTGTGCCGATGCTCAGGAGATCTTATTATTATTGATGTTATATGATTATTAAAAGATGATTTTTAAAATTCAAATATGATGTTTTTTTTTATTTTTATCTTAATTGCCTACTCATACAATATTAAAAGTTTTACTTCAATCGCGTGTGATCCTTACGCGCACTCTTTTTTTTTTATTCTTATAAGGAGAATAAGTTTTTATAATGTTTTAATAACACGTGAAATTTAACACGTGAAATTATAAATTTCAAACAAAAATAATAAAAAAATATTATACATGAATTAGAAATTGAACTCCGGAGCAAAAATTAGAATTTCACGACGATAGCCACTAGGCCAATCTGCTATTGATAAGGAAAAGCATTGCAAGGTATGCATGCCGCGCGCTGCCACAAACTTTAATTAATTTTTATATTTAAACCGCTTTTCATAGGCATCTAATATTTTACCACGGTCAGTTTGGGCATCAAATCTACCATTGTGCCAAGATTCATTAAAATCCGAGACGAGCAACGCGCGGGTTCTCCTTATTAGCAATTTGTACCCATCATTATAAACCCATATATCAACATGTCCACCACCTGATGGTAATCCAGGTGTACAACATCTCACATCTCACAACTCACACTTTGCATCTACATAGAACATTCATCCCCTTTTCCTTTCTCACAAAGAGGCATTAAGGACAGCATTGCGGTCGCGAACAGCCACTCGCACCTCGTTTCCACCGATCTCGTGGGGGTCGTTTAATAGACGAGAATAAGGGTAGGGGCATATGAACATAATTCGATAGATGGTTGTTGATATGTCGTATGTGCTGTGATCATAGACATTACACTATATGGACAAACATAGAAGGGACTGTGACGTCACTGTGATTTAATCAATCAGGAAAGTTTGCGATTGTCGGCAACGTTCGCTCAGCAAGTGACGTTACAGTAAAGGGCTTCATCTATGGCAATTAGGGAATGCAATACCGATAAAAAAAATTAATACCGGTATTTTTTATTATCTTAAACAAACGCAAACAAAATTGAAAGTTACAAGTACAGCTATAGAAAAAATGTATATACAACTACAACTATATTCAACTAAACAATAAAAACAATAAAATAAAACAATAATAATAAGTTTATTTTTTAAAAAATAATTTAATAAAATTATATTCAGTTAAATTAATTCATTTATTCATTATCACTATCGAGTATAATGAGAACTTCTTACCAAAAACAAACTTATAAGTAAGAAAGTCCAAAAACTCATAAAAGATCATATTACATTATTATAATAAACTGTATTGTCTGTATCCGATGTGTTAAATTAGCATAATCTCCAATATTTTAAAAAAATAATTTTCTACACTAATTTAATATCGGATAGTTTGTCAAGATAAATAATAAGTTACTATAATTATTGAGTATTGTTATTTAAAACAATGTGATGCTTCTATAGTATTTTCAAACTGCGAAACGTTTTTAAAAAATTATATTTTATAATTGTAATAAGAAGCAAAAATATTTAGTAATTATCATAATTATTATGTATAGTTAGAAAAAAATAAAGACTACGCCGAGATAATCTGTATGATATAAAATATTTTGGCGCAAATATCACTTAATAAACCGTTCCATTTTTACATAAGATGAAACAAACATTATTATCTATCAGTCCAATTCTATTTATTGTAACACGATATGAAGTCCTTTGGAAAGCAATAAATATTCAGTTTAATGACGAGTTGAGATAATATTTGACATTTGTTTATCCTATAGAATCACTTGAAGATATAGCTGTTTATGCGATTATGGAATTTAAAGATAAATTTGTTCCGAGAAATTTACATTTTAGTGTATTATGTATCAAACAGCGCTTACGTAAAATTACCGAAAATATGCTAATTACTACCGATATGCTTATATGGAAGAGTAGTACAGCTTTTTAATCTACTCCCACTATATATTAGGAAATTGAATAATCGTCAATTTCATAATACTATTGTTAAATTTTTAAAAGCTCAAAGTTTCTACGATACTTCTGAGTTTGCCAATTTCGATATCAAACATTATTTTGATAATGAAATGCCTACTGATAATAATTGATACTTTTTTTTTCCAACAGTTACAATTATGTTTTTCATTTTCCATATTTTTTCTTAATTTTTATTCTAAATTATTTTAACATTTTTCTACTTTAAGTATTTTATCATTACAATTATTTTCATATTATATATTCTTTTTTTATACTGCTCTTAATTATTATTTTCCAGACATGGGACTTAAATTCAAATTGCATAAAGGATATTTAAAGGATTTTTTGTTACCATAAGAAGAATCTCAAGATCTACAAGCCCTAATTAAACTATTTGAATTTTATAACATTTTTTTCTTCAAGTTATTGTATTAGATATTACTAATGTTAGGCTTAATATTGTTTAATAGTTGTATTTTACTGTAATTAATTCAATTAAGATAATTTATTTTTTGTAATTATTAAATTTAATCCTGTATCCGTAATATAAATATAAATATAAATATAAATATTGTATATTGGGATACTGAATGGGATGTTTCACTCGATGATGCATCCAATACAACAATCAATCACGAAAGATACAAGCGATATTTTGATAACTAGATGTAACAGAGGGATCGATGCTACTGAATCATACCGTTAAAATGTCATGTATTTGCTGTGCATTCAGGCGTTTTACACATAAAATGCAACGTCACTCGTATGTTACGAACCTGAGTCAGAAAAGCCCTATTATCTAAGATCGTTTATTTAAAATTTGTGCGGTTTCTAAGTTAGGTTTTCTATCTGACAACCGTGGCCTTACCATAACATGGCCTTACCATAACATTTTTCTGCTATGCGGCAGAATCGGCCCCAGAATCGCATTTTTGTTTGGTTTTTAATTTTAGTTACAACATTACAAAATTAGTATTTTTTAAGTTCCCGTATGGTAGTTATAGTAATGGGCCGCAAATCGAAAACGAAATTTTTGAATTAATGATAACTCGACGTTTTGAAGGTTTCTGAACATTTTTAAGAGGCATACCACAGAAAAAATGGATGTGTGTGTGTATGTCCGCATTTTTTCGTCCACGTTTTTGGGCGTACAGATCAAGCGATTTGAATGGTTCAAAAAACATTCGATTCCTATTGATAGGGAGATGTGATGATTAGTTTTTAACAAAGGCAGGTCCAGCTGTTTCGAAGATACGGAGCAAAAAGTGCAGAAAATAGAAATCGAGTTTTTGAGAGAACGGATCATATGATTTGTATGATCTAAAAAACATTCAATTCGTAATGACAGGGAGAAGAGGTGATTAGTTTTTGGCAAAGACAGGTCCCGCCATTTCGAAGATACAGAACTAAATGTTAAAAAAATGGCAGTTTTTGAGAGAACTAAGAGTCCGATTTAAATGATTCAAAGAACTTTCTGCTTGTTTCAACAAAATAATTACTTTTGGAAAAAAAAATTGTTTATAATTTTTTTTTCCAAAAATATTTTTGTAATTTTGAATTTAAAGAAATTCAAAAAATGACCCAGACTAAGCACAGTCTAAGCGCCACCTCATTGCACTCTGGTGCAAATGTTTACTCAAGTGCCAATTTTGTGAAAACTATTGAAAAATGTGAAACTGCCGCCAAGCTAAGCACAGTAT